TCATTCATCACGTTTAAAGATATTTCGTTTGAAATGTTCGAATGAAATATTTCGTTTAATTGCATTAACTAATTAATTTTTCATCTTGACAACTGTCATTCGTCCATAATCGAATTCTAATTTATCGAGAATATTTATTAATATCGTGTTTAACGTTTAATTATTAAAATACGATTGGAATTATTTTCGATTCGTTTATTTTGTTCCTTCGAACAATTTTCCGAATGATTTTTATAAAGTTTAGAATAAAGCGAAAAGGAAAATTCGTAAGAAAAGAACATAATAATTATGATTTAATTAATGTATATATATATATATATATATATATATATAATGATATATAAATAAATACATATGTATATATATATATTTTTTTTATTTTCTTTTCTGTTTTAGATAATTTCTTCTTGTAATGTATTCGAATGAATTTAAGGGAATATGATCAGGAGATTAGGTTGGAATTGTGTAAAATTTCACGACAATGAAAGTCAGAGTTTATTAAGTTTGAGAAAAGAAAAGTATTATGTATGGAAAACAAAAAAAAAAAGAAAGAAAAGGAAAGAAAAAATACAAAAAGAAATAAAAGAAAATGTACGATATTGAGAAAGAAAAAGAGAGAGAGAAAGAGGGAGAGAGAGAAAGAAAGAAAGAGAGAGAAAAAAAAGAGAGAGAGAGAGAGAGAGAGAGAGAGAGAGAGGAAACGTGTTACTCTTTTTTTACGAGCAGCGACCGCGATACTACTTTTTCTTATGACTGTCCCGCGGGATGTTATTTTTTCACGTTCCATCAGAAAGTTTGCATTTGCTTCTATGTTCGTACTCTTGAGATAACAGATATTTCCCTTCTGCTTTTTTTCTCTCTTTCTTTTTCTTCTTCTTCTTCCTTCTTTTCTTTTTTCATTCTATCTTTGTTTCCTTTTTCCCTTTTTTTTGTTTTCTTTTTTCTTTTCTCCTTTTTCTTTTTTCTTTTTTCGACGTAACGCTCGTTTCGCTAAGTTTTACATGCATTTCGTGGCTCGGACGTTTTGCATTAAACATCACGAGTCCGTGAACGTCATTTTTCTGGGATTTTAAAGCTCATAAAACTTCGATCGTTAACATTAGAGAAATAATAGAAAAAAATATAGAACGATATAGAGAGAGAGAGAGAGAGAGAGAGAGAGAGAATGATTAAGAAAGTTACCATACATTTTTTTTTATTTTTTTTATTACATTTAGTACCATCATAGATAAAAAAAAAAAAAACAAAAAAATAAGAGGAAAAAGAATAAAAATCTATAATCTTTATCATCACAATTATTCGATTAATCCTTTATGATTCAATGTTTTTGATTGTACGAATTGAAAAAAAAAAAGAAAACAAAAAAAGTTATACAACGTGAAAGTCATATTATAACTTGTAGGTTGAAAGAACAAAAAAAAAAAAGAACAAGAAAAAAATAAAAGGAACAACTTCGTATATATGAATTAACAATTAATTTTATAATAATGAACAATGAAATGAGGAGGATAGAAAAACAGGAAAAAAAAAGGAAGAAAGAGAAAAAGAAAAAAATATTTCTACGACAATAGAAACAATTAAAAACTGAACGAAATGCGGAGATATAAAAGTATGCGTATCGTTACGTCTGATTGTTTAAAATAAATAAAATTGTATAACAATTTCCACGTTTCTTGTTTCTTTTCTTTTTATTTTTAATTATTATAATTATTATTATTATTATTATTATTATTATTATTATTATTATTATCATTATTATTAGTCAAATAAAAAGAAAAGAGAAGAGAAGAAAAGTAAAGCAAAGACAAATTAATAAATAAATAATAATAATAAAAGTAGAAAAAGAAGAAGAAGTATACGAGGACGAAAAATGTGTTTAGAAAGCAAAAATAGAAAAAGAACACTACCCTTTCATTAGACAGAATGATATATTTAGATTATGTACATATATACATGTATATTTATTCGTTACAATACGATTCATCCCTTACATATCATCCATCCCTTAATATGTCTCTCTCATTATCGGTTTGAAGAAAAGTCGGAGAACGTTACTATCTTTTTCTTTTTTTTTCTCTCTCTCTTTCTCTCTCTTTCATTAATATACATCTCCACCCCCTCCCACCACATACACACATATACATATATGTATAAATATATAGAGGTTCATACGTTTCCATATATGAATATATATATATATATATATATATATATATACATACATAAATATATATACATATACATGTATGTATGTATGTATATATATGTATGTATGTACGTATGAGAATGTGTGTATGTGTATGTATGTATTTATGTATGTACGTATGAAAATGTGAGTATGTGTACGTTGTATTTATGTATGTACGTATGAAAATGTGTGTATGTGTATGTATGTATGTATGCGTGCGTGCGCGTGTGTGTGTGTGTGTAAGTAAGTATGTATGTATGCATATATGTAAGTATGTATGTATAGTAGGTTTTGGTCGTATCTAGTCTCGCATGTATGTATACGTGAACGTATAGAGGGGGATGGAACAGCACGTCTGCGCGATGTGAAGCAAGGGGTGGGAGAGAGCAAGAGAGTCTCTTTAGCGGGGACCCGACGTGCTTTTCTACCCTCGACGACGACAGTCCTGCCGCACCACCAAAACGTGCCACATAATCGTGAGTAGATTTTATACATTCCATTCGATCCTTATAATCTCTTTCTCTCTTCCTCTCTGTCTCTCTCTCTCTCTCTCTCTTTCTTTCTCTCACTCTCTCACTCTCTTTGTCTCTCTTTCTCTTTCTCTCTTTCTCTCTTTACACTAATTTTTTGTATTCTATTTTTTTTTCTTTCTTTTTTTTTTTTTTTATTCTTTTCTTTTATACCAATTTTTTCATTTCGAATGAACGTCTTTTTTTTTCTCTTTCTTCTTTCTCTCGTTCTTTTTTATTGTTTAATTATACGCGCGAATAAAAAATTAAAAAAAAAGAAAAAAAAAAGAAGAATGTAAATAAATAAATATAAAGAGAAGGAAGTAACACGCACGAGTCACGTTTGATTCGTCTTAAAGTATTTTTTTTTCTTTCTTTCTTTTTTCTTCTCTTTACGTGCTTTTATTGTATATATATATATATATATATATATATATATATATATATATATATATATATATATATACACATATACACACATATATATATCTAAGTGTATATACATATTTATACACATATATATGTATGCGTGTATTTGTACGTGTATCATCGGTATTCGTCAATGAAACTCGTGGAAAATTAACGAAGAAATTTAATTCACGTTTCTATTTTTTTTTTTTTTGTTTTCATTTTCTCTCTTTTTTTCTTTCTTTTTTTTATTCGTTTTGTTTCATTTTGCGTTCTCATTTTACAACGAACGTTTCTTTCATTAAAATAAATAATTATATAATTGAATCAGTTTATCGAGATACTTTTTCAATCGAAAGTTTTATTATTCAGTTATTATTATTTATGTCTTACGATCAATCGAACATTTTTCTTCTATGTATATATATATATATATATATATATATATATATATATATATTTATGTGTATTTATATATATACATATATATATGTCTGTGTATCACATTTTATATGTATCTTGTTTCGATAAAACTCGATCGGTTTTCATTCCGTAAGTTTTCCAACGTTAACCGCGTTAACTCCGAGTTTCTTTCGAGTCGATTTCATTATTTAATCGACTAGTGAATAAGTTAGCATGCGATGGAAATAGTCATTCGAGTTGATCGATTGATAGTTTCTTATCGCCCGGTTATTCGTATTCTTTCGATATTATTCGTTTACATAAAAAGTCAAGAGAACGCGTAATAAACAAACAAATAAACGAACGATCAAATAGATAAATAAATAAATCATTAAATAGAAAAAAGGATAAAAAGAAGAAGATGCGATGGAAAATAAATGCGTACACGCGAATGAAATCGACGAATGTAGGGATTAAAAAAAAAAAAAAAAAAAAAAAAAAAAAAAGAAAAAAAAACAAACATACAAAAGAGAAATGAAAAAAAGAAAAAGGAAAAACGAAAAGAATTGCAATCGAAAAGCGAAAAGCGCGACTTTTGCGTGGCTAACCCTTTTGGTGTTTCGAAGCGATAGAGGAAATGCAATTATGCAGTTAGTAAAACGAGATTATGAGCGTGGCTGTGGAGCGCTTAAATTTTCATTCGCTTTGACTTCCTTGACTTTTACTCTTGTCGATTAATTAACGTTACACGAGATCGCACGATTTCTCCAGTCGTAATATAACATAATTCTCTTTAACATATAAATATATATTTTGTGCTATATAAGAAAGTTTATTTGTCGAACAATCATATCGCTTATTCTCGATGCAATCCTCGTTCCAATTACACCTCTTCCGCCCTCTCCTCCCTCTCCCCCTTCCATATTCTCCAATCCCTTAACTCACAGCCAATACTTTTTTCATTTTTTTTTTTCCACAGAGATCCACAAATCTGCATTAATCGTGTGATCGTTACGATGAATATTATCAGATCGATGCATTTATCGATCATTATGATCATCGCACGAGCTTAGAAATATTTTAACTCATATATATATATATATATTTTTTTTTTTTTCTTTTCCTTGCATTTTCCTTTTGTTCTACGTGTAATTAATATTCCCGTTAATTTGTACATGAAAAGAAAATGTCTCTCTTTGTATCGCTTGATACAAATTTAAAATTAACGAGTTGTTAGTTGTGTCCTCCTCTCGCCCCATTAGCCACTTCACTCACTTCCCCATCGTCGTGTCGTATCTTTCCATCTTTTTTCTTTTTTCCTTTTTTTTTTTTTTCTTTTTCTTTTTTTTTACAAATTTATTACAACGAAGTAACGATTGAAAATTCGAGACACGAATATATGCGTTCGTATATCTTTCAATTTAATCTCGTACATAGGGATTACATAAAAGGAAAAGTGCAAAGCGATCGAGAGAAGAGTACTCTCGTACGATTCTATGTTCTTTTTGTTGTTAGAAGAAGAAGAGAGAGAGAGAGAGAGAGAGAGAGAGAGAGAGAGAGAGAGAGAGGGAGGGAGGGGGAGAGTGTGGGAGGGAAGAGATGGAGGGTGCAGAAAGAGAGACATTTATTCGAGTAACGGCCGGAAAGGATCACTTCCTGATTCGTTTACGACGTGTCACGATTATCTTTATTTCATTCTTTCACAATTTCTTCGAAACTCTTACGTGAAGCGTGTACCTATAGTAAAACGATTTTTATACATATCAGACTTTTCTATTTCTTTTTAATGTAGATTAAAGAAAAGAGGTTGCTCCGAATTGAGATATAAAAACGTGACAAGAAAATACGATTTTCTATAGGAAATTCCAATACATATATATATATATATATATATATAGGTATTTGTATATATATGAATGTGTACATTTTATCTATATGATAGAAAAATTTTGTATTAGGGCTTATTCTATAGGTGAGAGCTAATAAGAGAAATATGGTGGTCACGTATACATAAAGTGGGACATTCATGGTTTCTAGTTTGAAATATATCGAATATCCGTAATCCATATTTCTTCTTTTTTAAGGCTTTACAATTTTTCATATATAGGCAGAATATGAATATTTTTACGAATTGATAAAATACCATATAGACATATATATACATGTATATATATATATATATATATATATATATATATATAAAATATATTATATAAGAATGTATATAGGAAGTTTGACATACAATATAATAAAGGGTGGGTTACAAAATAAAAATGTTAATATTAAATATATATATATATAACACCATACATATATATCCTTATACAATACTCGTACTTACTCTTTATCTAGATAAATAACGGGCTTAGTATTAGGTCGTCTGGTAATCTTAATATTCTCTTCACATTGAAAACGATGAAAAGAAAAGACGAAGTAGAAGTGGAAGTGGAAGTAGAAGTAGAAGAAGAAGAAGAAGAAGAAGAAGAGGGAATGGGAAGGGAAGAAGAGAAAAAAGAAAAAGAAGAAAAAAGATAGAGAGAGAGAGAGAGAGAGAGAGAGAGAGAGAGAGGGAAAGAAAACACAGCCTTTAAAATATAGCTATGATTCTCTTATCATAGTTGGTGAGAGTGAAAAAGAGTAGGGGGAAGTTTTTCTTAAAGCTCCCTAACTTTCATGCAAATCATTTTCCTTTCTCGGATATATATACACATACACACACACACACGCACACACACACACACACGCATGTACATACACACATATACGTATAAAAACGGGACGAATAAAGGGAAGCAACTTTCTCCTCGTATGATCTATGCGAGTGATGCATCCAAAAAATCGAACGGTCTTGAATATTTTCTTATAATCTTATTAAAAAAAAAAAAAAAAAAAAAAAAAAGAAATGAAGAAGGAAAGAAAAAATATTGTAAAAAATAACGATAATAATGATAATGATTTCGTTCCAATGATTTTACGCTTTGTAAAATTATTTCGTCTGAACGGAAGGAAATTAAACGAAAAAAAAAAAAGGAAAAAGAAAAGAAAAGAAAAGAAAAGAAAAGAAAAGGAAAGAAAAAAAAAACAGATGATAATAATTTTAATAATGATAATAATAATGACAAATTATAAAAGTAAAATATAATATTTCATAATTGTCGTGAAATGAACTACTGAACGAAATCACGTAGAAACAGTTACTTATTCTCGTAGTGTGTCGGTCACCCTAATCTCCTTTGCCTCTCTACCTTTACCCTGTCACACCCCTTACCACCCCCTTACTTTCGCTCGTTCTCTCGCGAGAAACGTTACGCAGCACTTTATACCTGCCGGGCGGAACTCGATTTGCCGGAGAGAGGAAAGTTGCGTTCTACAAGAAAATCATTAAAGCCTCTCTCTCTCTCTTTCTCTTTCTCTCTTTCTCTTTCTCTTTCTCTCTCTCTCTCTCTCTCTCTCTCTCTCTCTCTCTCTCTCTCTCTCTCTCTCTCTTTGCTAGGCGGGAAATGGTATTTGTTTGACATGAAAAGCTAGCCAGTCCTTCGAAAAGCAGACCTAGTTAGTAATTGTTTCATGGAAAGGTTGGATAAGGTTTGGTGTTGGGACGTAGAGAGAGAGTAGAAGGGTGAGATCATGAAATTTTCGTTTAACAAAACAAAATTCAATATCCCTTTAGTTGTATTAAATAATATCGTTAACGTTGATATTTTCCTTGATAAACGAGTAATTTACAATTTACATATATTATTGCATTCATTATACGTTCGTATTTAGCACGTATTATTTCTGAAGTTCGTATTAATTCAAACGTTGATCGTAAATATCAAAGAACGTCGTTGTTTCATCCAAAAAAGTTATATAAAGAAGAATAAAAAACAAAAAAGGAAAATGAATATCGTTTACAATTTTCAAACGTTAATTCATTTTCAATAGTTCTATCAAAATCCTCGTCCATTATTATTATTATTATTATTATTATTATTATTATTATTATTATTATTATTATTATCATCATCATTGTCGTTATTATTATTATTATTGTTATTATCATTGTTAATTATATTTTTATTTTTATTGACTTATTATTAAATAAATTAATTTTAACTTAATGCCAAAACGGTTAATGTTAACCGCAAATTCCATTAATTAGGTTCATAATAGGG